CTAGAAGTTTATCACAATATAGCAAATTTGAAAACATTAAGAGCTAGTACTTACTGTGAAATTTAACAGGAAAATGGTAAGTTACAAACGTTGAAGACGAATAAGACGAACATGTTGTTTTTTAATTATTAACTGGCCGAAGCCAAGTGAAAAAACCTGAAGGGTGGTTAAACCGGAAAGGTTGTCCTAAGTTTCAAAACGAATTATATCAATCCTTGTTAAGACAACCAACCGGAGGGTTGAATTATTACATTAAAAGTTGAAAGTTGAATTTAACCTATAAATAGACAAAGTTTTAGATTTAAAAAATAAATTATCTAAAGGGTACTTACACATTTCAAAAGAACCGGGGGAAAAAATAAACTTATAAAAGTTTTGAAAACTATTGAGATGACTACATATTTAAATTATTTAAGTAAGTTTAAATTCGAGATCATGCAGACGGCATGTCTAGAAATGATTGACAATCCGGTATAAGAGGAAACTGACATATCGATAAATTTATAAATTTTGAAAAGATATATAGGGTGAATTGAAATTATTGTAAAAACAGAAGATTGTTATTGAAGCCGAGAATTTCGTTAAGAGAGAGGTGTGGGTTCTTTTTAACTTGGTGGTGAATTTCTTTCAATTCCAGAAAGTTCAATCCTATACCTTTATTGCATATATATGTAGAATTTCGAAATCGGTATTCGGATTGAAGGAGTGACCCGTTTCCAGGATGTGTGAAGAGAAAGAGGATTTTATTGAAGAGGAATTATTGTTTTTAATGCATTGAAAGTGTTCTTGAAACCTAGTAGAAAATTTCCTCCCTGTTTGGCCAATGTAGGAAGATTTACAGGTGGGGCAATTAAGTTTGTAAATGCCAGATTTGTCTATTAGAGGGATTTGGTCTTTTGTGTGTGAAAGAACTGACTTTAGATTGCTGTCGGCTGTAAAGATTATGCGGATGTTGTATTTTTGGAAGGTGTTTTGAAAACAATGAGAAAATTCTCCGATATAAGGCAATACTTGATATGTGGTTGCAGTATCTTCTTGTAAGAGGGATAAACTGGTGGTATTGCGGATCTCGGATTTATGAAGGAGTTTGAATTGGAGATTTTGGATCAATTTTAACGGGTAATCATTTTGGGCGGCTAGTTGGTACATAATCTGGAGTTCTGCGTTGTATTTGGTTTGGTTTAAGGGTAAATTGAAAAGTCTGTGGAAATAGAATCTGAACGCTGCAAGTTTATGTTGGAGAGAATGAAAGGAGGTGAAGTGGATTATATTACTGGTGGTGGTGGGTTTTCTATAAATTCCAATATCGAGTTTTTGGCCTAGATGTTCAATTGAGAGATCTAAAAAATTGAGGGTTTTGTGGGACTCTAATTCGAGGGTAAATTTTAAGTTTTTATGTAAGGTATTTAAGATGTTGAAGCAATTGTTTAAATCGGAGTCATTGCCTTCAAATATCACAAGGATGTCATCTACATAGCGTTTATAAAATTTAAAGTGTTGCTTGATGGTAGGGTTGGATAAGAGTTTTTTAATTTCTAGATTTGATAAGAATATTTCGGCAAGTAAAGGCGAAAGGTTATTCCCCATAGGGAGACCGGATTTTTGTGTATATTGTTTTTTATTGAAGAAGAAGAAATTTTGGTTCAAACACTGATCTAGACATTTGATTAAAAATTCGGAAGTTTGATCTGAGGCATTAGAATCTGAAAGTAAATTTTGAACTATCGATCTGCATTCTCCGTATGGGACGCTAGGAAACAAATTGACTATATCAAAGGAAATGAGGCGTTGTGATTCTGAAATCTTAGTTTTTGAAAGTTCATGAGCAAATTGAATGGAGTTCGTTATTGAATGTGGGGAGGACCATGGTAAAAGGGTTGTCAAGCACGAGTTTAACCACGTAGATAGTTTGTGTACTGGTGTGTTGGTAAAAGAAACGATAGGTCGTATCGGGTTGTTGGGTTTGTGGATTTTTGGAAGAGCATACAATCTGGGGATGGATGGATTCATAAGAAGGAAAGACGTGTAATAAAGGTTGAATTCAGTTTTGATGAAGTCCTTATAAGAGGGAATAAACTTTCTGAAATTTACTGTGAAGTTATTAAAATTTATCTTCGAGTTACTGAAATCATCCCCTTTAAGTAAATTCTCCACTTTACGGACATAATCTTCTTTATTCATGATTACAAGAGCATTACCTTTGTCCGCTTTGGTAAAGATGAGGTTGTTATCAATTGATTTTGATTTGATGGATGTCAAAGTTCTCAGAATTGATTTGTTAAATTTCCCCGAGATGGGTTTATATTTATTCAATTTGTGGAGACAACTTGCTCTGATGGAGTTCGTGTCCACCTGAGGGTTGTTGGAATTGATTTTGTGCAAAATGCATTCTAGGTTTATTTTAAAATCTTGAAGAGTATTTTTGTTCGTATTGAATGGGTTGTGCTTAAGGCCTAGATTTAAGATGTCAGTTTCGTCTTTATCGAAGGTGGTCGTACTAAGATTTATTACGTTTTTGTGAAACTTGAAGAAGAAACTTGGATCAGGGGGGTTGTAATTTAAGTTAGATTTTAATTTCTTTAAGTTGGTTAATTTTTTATTTAAACTTTGAAAAATTTCTGAGCCAAATTTCTCTACTTCGTCTTTGGTTGTGCTAATGACTATATCTAATTCTAAATTGTTAAGGTAATAATGAAGATCTTGATGTGAAATCTATAGTTGTAGATTTAGGTTGTCTCTGACTTTGTACCAGTGGTTGATTTCGTTTTTGAGCCATTTAAGTTTACCTGAGTGTATAGCGTCTTGTACTCTCGGTGAGTTGTTTTTTGTTTTTATGTTGATATATCTTGGGAATAGTTCTTCTTTGAGGCAAGTATGGTTGAACCAGATGTTGAGTGATGCTCTTTTCAATTTTCTTTGATGTTTGATGAATTGATGGACTGTTGAAGCTCGGTTGGCGAAGAAATTTTGGGTTGGATCCATCGTTCCTCGAAATGGGGGTTGAAATATATTGTGTGATCAAAACTCAGTAAGTACTAGCCCTTAATGTTTTCAAATTTGCTATATTGTGATAAACTTCTAGTCGCCTGATGATGGCAGTACGCCGAAACTATAGTCGCTTTTATTTTTAAAAACTTCAACGAATAAAAACTATATGGGGAAGGTTTAGAGAGTTTTGATCACACAATATATTTCCTTCTGATGATATATGTTCCATTACCGGGCAAAAATTTGGGGTACTTCATCTGAATATAACGCAAATGCGTTTTGGCTAAATAATTTAAAAAATAATTCAAAAAATTGGACGTGGGTAGAAGAAAATTCAATAACTTTAGATGATTTCATAAATACTTTGAAATTTAGTGCCAATTGGACTGCATCAGGAATAGACCATATTATTGGTTATAGAAGTTTACCACTACCCAAAAAATTACCGTTAAATTACTTGTTTACCGACAATTTATAACTTATTTACTTCAATAATTAAACACAAAATTAATAACCATTGTAAAACGAATCAAATTTTAAATATTGAACAAAAGAGTGATTTGGTTGGTGATCTCATGCCATTTAACAGAGCAATAATTATTTGGTGCCCACGTGGCACATTGCATTTATTTTTTATATGCGCTGAAGGTTAGGGACACAGCAATACCTTCCCTTAACATTTTCTCTGTACCCGCATTTATTTCGGACATTTGTGCGTGTAGAAGCAGGTACGATTGTACACCGGTAGTAAATTGAGCTTTATTGATATACATTCCATTGCAATATTTGAAACTCTCGCTAGACCGTTTTCCTTTATATAAAAGTCGGCGATTTTCATACATTTTGTGAATTGCGGCTTCTCTTCTTTATATAAATTCTTAATTAAGCCTAAATATATCTACATTAATTCCGTTAATGCTCAAATTATATACGTATATCAAAGCATGATAATTTTTCAACTTTCGCTTTGAAGTTCCATATCTCCTCTGTTTGTATAAATAATTACCTCACTTTCTAAAATCTTTGAAAATATTGTATGCGTTGAAAAAATAAGTTTAACAAAAAATATAATATACAGTGATATTTATTAAGAAGTAGCCATAGGGATTTACATATAGTATTGTCTACTTTTAAATTCTCTTCTGAAGGGTGCCTAATTTTGTATTCAAAATATTCTTAATTTGTATATTGTTGCTTTGGATTTCCAAAAAAAATGAATCTCTGATTCTTAAACTGTTACCGGCGCTATATCAATTGACAAGATCAACCTTTTCTTCAGTTGAATGCATCGCACAAGAACGAAAATAAGAATACGGAATCCAAAGCAAACATAGGAAAAAACAATACATGTAAATCCCTATGCATATTCTTAATCATAGTATATATTACTTATGTCATAGTATGTATTAGTTACCCAAACAAGCTTCCGCAGAAAACAATGGAGCTATAATCTTTAAATGACTCTCAAACAAATGTATTACAGGTCGCAACGGCCTTGATGAGCTCAATAAGGGCGCTTTTTGCATACACAATTTATCGAAATTCGATCCCAATTCATTGACCAACACTAGCAAAGAGTTAATAGAAACTGTACAATCCTCTTTTGTAATTTTTTCTGCCTAAGTACATTTGATTCATTTACGGGAGGAAGGGGGAGGCACCTAATATGCCAGGCCCTTCTCCCATTTCAAAAATAAATTCGGCTAAATGGAGCAATAATTACCACAGTACAAAAATAATTGAGCACTCTGTTATGTGCTATTACATTTCATCATTGCTCATTGGTCACAAATATTCTCCTAGGCTACTCTGTCAAGAACACTACATTTTATTGTAAGGTTTACCATTTAACCTTAAAATAGAAATATGATTATGAAATTCAATACTGACTGCCAAATTTATTTGTTAGAGGTACTCATATATGTATCTATATAATGTCTGTCTTACTGCCTGTCTGTCTGTCTTTTATGCTTGTCTATACCGTTCATCCGATTGCGATAAAACCGTGGAGAATGATTGGACGTAGGCTCACGAAAGTTCATGAATTAGTAAACCGCCATCCGGAATTCCCACGGAATCGGATAAAAAACGGGATTTTCAAAGGCGGTACAAATTCGCCGAGACTGCTACTAGTATATAAAAGTCAAAATTAGAGGAAGACTTCGACTGTTATTCTTATGATTAACCAAATGAATAATTCCGTTTTTTGTTTGCAGGTTCTATCAGCAACATCGACGGAGCCGAGTACCATTGCAACAAGACCCAAGTTCGCAAAGTCATATCAGGCGTCGTAGGCGCAGCTTCCAGTGTAACTTCGATTCAAGTTGCCAACCTATTAAGACTGTTCAAAATTCCTCAGGTAAGTAACTTCATTTCTACTATCGCTAAATTGATTACAACCCCTTTTAAAAGTATCTGAATGAAAGAAAAAGTCGATTTGAAATCTAAATTGCGAATCTCTGATGGACTCCCTTCGGGATGAAAAAATGCAATTAAAGTTTTTATGGAAACGAATGAAAAGAAATTATACCGAGAATGTCAATATCAGATTTTTGTTACTCTGAAGTTTTCTTTGAGAGTTCCTGTCATTTCAAGGTATCTTGAGGGAAGTTATCTTCCATAAAAGTTTTACCAAATTTTAATAGAAAATAAATTGCGGGGGATGAAAACCTGTAGCGCGTTGTTTTGACAGTAGAATTGGCTGATTGTACAAGAAATTTCGTGCAAGACTGCCTTTGTAGAAAGAACGTGGGAAGTTTGCGGCGGAGATGCATTTTCTCGCAATGAAATTAACATCTACAACCATTGAATTCATAACTATCCTATAGATGCAATGGTACAACTGTAATTAGGGGGAAATAAAAAGTGTATCTTCTTGAGCTGCAAAAATAATGAAGTAGGTTTCGATCGTCGATATCTTGTAATGTAAGAAAAAACCAAAACTGTAGGAGGTTGCGGGCCCCACTTGAAACTTTCACAACGCACGCAAGGCACGTAATGTAAGTTTGTCCACTTTCGATTGAATTATCGTACTGTTTGTCAGTGAACTTAAGTTCGCCCCTGCTAAAATTTAATCATCGACAACTTTATAAGCAGTAAACTAACTCAGAAGTTGGTATATAACGACAGTTCGAAACTTACGACAAAAATTTATCGCCATTATGGCGTATTTGTTGTTTGTTACCCTCGATCCGTGTCTCTTCCTCTTATCGAATTTCCATTGCGGTCGCCTTGGAACTAATACAGGCCACAAAGTTTTAGTTTACTATTTCCCTTTAGCCAGCTGCCGGCAGAAATAAATTGCCCAAGAGTAAATCGGTCTGTTAACTTTGCGCCTGCAAGGACCCGCAAAATGTCGTTACGTTTAATATTAATTTCCTCAGAGGTGCAGGAACTGTTATTGTTCTGTAACTTTTCACACTTTCTGGAAGTTTCTAGTAGTAATTGGATTAAAATTGTGACATTTTTGTGTACCTAGGAGGCTGTGCCCCGATTTATCTTAGTTACTTTGAATGTGTGTCGTGCGTCGCACTGCTGGGAATATCGTGTGGGGAAATGTAAAAATTGAGTCAAAGAAACACCAATTCCTTACGCTTTGAATTTTTAAGGATACCTACTGCTGCTTTTAGAAATTCACTTCACAATGGCCTGTCCTCTCTGCAGCTCTATATTTTATTCATTGATTCTGTTGAGTAACAGAAAAATAAATAGTAAATAGAAAAACGCTTCTAAGATCTGCGCAAAATCGAAGAGTACCTAATATTTAATAGTCAGTTGAAAAATTGAATTTTTTTTAATTTTTGGGCTAGAGAAACATTCCCGTCCTCCAAAGGCCTGCGCAAAATTACAACTTTGTCCCTCCGGTCAGCAAAACCTTTTAAAGTTCAATTTAATTATTAGAACAGAGTACAGTTTTTGAGATTTCTGGAGCAAAAGGGTAATTTTGTCCTTCACAGACCTGCGAAAACTATTACTGAGTTACTTTATTACATCCAAGCTTATATTTTGTGAATAGCGAAAAAATTATTTAAATTATTTGGTCGGACGTGCTCACGTTTAAATTTAAATTTAACCTAAAATGGCGAGGATTCCTGTTTGCACAGAACATGTTCTGGTTTTTGGGGAGTCCTGAGGCGTGTGCGGACAATTCGCACTCGGATAATTCGCACCGGAATAATTCGCACCCGGATAATTCGCACCCGGACATTTCGCTCCCAGGATATTTCCCACCCTGGACATTTCGCTCCCGGATAATTCGCACCCGGATAATTCTGTAAATCTTTGGTTTATTAAAATTAAATATTTTTAAGAGGCTACTAGACGATTGTCTTTACAGAATGTATGTAGTAGTGCACATCTTGGTATACATCTACTTCATGGAAAAATGTTTTAAATAATAGTTATTTGGTCTTTCATTTTCAACACATCGCGATTCTTAAGTATTTCCATTTCTTAAATATAATCACGCTGGTTTTTTTAAGTTGTATGAAGAGTTTGATATAGTTAAATCCTGTAATTTAAGAACACATAATTTTTATCTACTGCGCTTTCGTTTTGAGAAAATAAGAATAGGTAACTGAAACGTCTTTTGTGGAGTAATTAAATACCAAATAGTTATACCTAGTTATAGTATATCTACAATATTATGTGTAATATTCGCTACTTTTGAGACGCTCTTAATATTAAAACAGAATCAACATATAATACCGTACACAAACAAAGTGATAAGTCTAAAGTTAAAAATATTTACATTATAAGATCAAGATGAAAATAGAAAAAGGAAGTAATTTTAACGTTCCCTTACATAAAGATTTCTTAATGAAGACACATAAAAAATTGTTCTTTATTTCTTTAGTTGAAAAGGGTGACAAAGGAAATGAATTAAATTTATTTTAGACAAAACGAGTATGTATAAATGACAATAGAACAATGCATTTCATAGATGGCACTAAATTTGGATAAGTAATTAAGATAATATTATAATTAAAGGTAAATTTGAAAAGACCCCGATAACACAAATTGCACTTCATAAAGAAACAATAAGAGAAATATCGTAATGACATCCTTTCTATTATTTCTGGAAGATGAATAGGGTTTATTACAAGGTAAAAGTAATTAGGTCCGAAAAATCAGGTTTAAGTACGTATGACCACAACTAATTAGAACTTTAACGCCTGTATAGTATCTTCATTCTTGAACGTTTGACAGAGTGGTATTTTAAAATTTATCTGAGCACGGGTTTTGATTTTGTGTATACTTTTTTTTTAATTTTAAAAAATTTTATTTCTGGTGGTAGTGTTGTGGTGGTGTTCAGAAAAGGTAAGTTTCCAGTTTTCTTAGAACCAGTTTTACGTTTCTTTGACCACATATGGCTATATGTTGATTATTGGTGACTGAGTAAAATTACACTAACTGCTTATTTTTTTGCGTTATCTTTGCTACAACTATGGTAGTGAATGAACTTAAAAGTTTCTTTTTGATTTTCTTACTCTTATTTATTTTATAGTTTGAAGAGATACATGGAAAAATTCTGGCAATTTTTTAAGAGATTGTTAATAATCAAAACAGTAAAGCTTTTAAAAATCTTGAAACGTTTTAGGAACAGGTCGATATTGATGATTTTTTCTTTTAAATGTTTGTAATTATTAAGTACCTATATACTTCCTTTTTAATTTTTGTATGGCATACCTAGTACTAAAGCAAAACCCTTAGCATTGGTAATTGCGCAACAAGGAAGATAGGACATCATTGGAAAGGCTTTCCTTCCCTGAATTTGGTGAGACTATAATTTTTTAGATTTGATATTTTCGAAATATTTTAAAAGTAAGTTGAGGGCGCGCTGTTGTTTATGTCATTGGAAGGATGTCGGGCCGATCACTATGTAATAGAAGCTAATGCGATCGTGCGTCAAAATTATGCAGTTGCAAGTGGTATAAAAAAAGGAAAACTTGTACCTGCAACGTCGAATGCGCTGGAAATGAAACAACTAAACCAAAAAAATTACATATCCGAATTCAGAGATGGGCGACCTTACTAACGATGCATTATTTAAGATTTTAAGGATTGCACTGTCAGCGATGCAAGACAAAGACATTAGTGAGCAAGTTTTATTTTAGACACTGTTTCCTTCCATGATCATATTTGACGTGCCAAAGCGTTTTTTGAAAATTATTTTAATTTACAAAAATAGCTATGTATCGTTTCTAATGCACCACCGTAGCGTCGGAGAAAGAACACCAAAATCTCCCCATAAAAATTGTTATAATAATAAATGGGTAGATTTTGGTGTTATTTCTCCTAAGCTTCTTAAGCACCCCATCGAAAGTCATGGATCTTCACAATTTCAGTATATTATTTAAATAATAGCCATATAATTTATAGCAAGATCAATTTTTTTCACGATATTTATCAACATTTTTTGCTTTTTTCGTTACTTTACAGTTCTTATCTCTTTAATTTTACGGAAACTCTCAAGAATCTATTTGTTTTACGTTCAAATATGATTATAATTTTCTTGAGATCTTTTAAGACAATACATACGTATTTCGTTATGTGTCCTTTAAATGGACGACATCGAAGGTTAGAGAACTAGGAAACTTAACTTGCAGCTATTAACAAAGAATAATTGTTAAAATTTTATTTAGACTTTTATATTCCTATTGCAATATTATTTGTACGTGCTAAAAGGTTTCCAAATGAAAAAAACCTTGATTGTTAATTGGTACAATAAAACTGGGTAAATAGGTTTAAGAAATGTCAGGTGACAGTTTTGCTTATAGACCGATACCAGCGTTTAGCAGCACCCGTCTACTTTAGTCCAGGGAATAGAGGGTTTTAGCATGCAAAATGAGAAGTAGTTCCAATTTCTTTTGCATGTCGTAGAGAGACATCTGGTGGTTAAGAATCTAAGTTTTCGACCTCCCACCCCTTGTGCTTCCCCCGTACCACCCCCAAAACCCCTGAAATTTGGTTGGTTTCTTAGTTTTTCAATCGTATCTTTTTAATAGTTCACTTTAGAAAAAAATATTGTTATCAGAAATTGTAGACCATAAAATTCTACACAACTTTGATATACACTACTTTTTTGTGAAATGTTTATTAAAAAAGATATAGAGCTTCAAAGTTGCTTATATTTTTAAGAATTCTGAAATTTCTATGTAGGTGTTTTAATCAAATTTCATACTTTTACACTATAATTAAGAGTTTTATGAGAAAAAACTTGAATTTATCGTGGTATAAATCCCTCTACCCTGCACCCTTACCAAAGGGGATGCATAATAATGACACTTGCAACCCTTGCTAGTGAGGATATTTGAATTACTTTGAGATTATAGCCCTTTCTAATATATTTTTGAAATG